TTTTTTTTTTTTTTTTTTTTTTTTGTGAAATATTACATATTTCATACATTATTTTATGAATGTATTTAATACATTATTTTATTCAGACTACATTTTCATACATAGTAATATTGCTTATTTTGTTTTTTGTATATTTTTTTGTTTTTAATTAGTAATAATAATAATATATTATTATTATTATTATTATTATTGTAAAACTTTACAATAAAGTCTAATTTGTTAACATTAGCTGTATTAATGTATTAATATTTTTACAGCATTTATTGTCCTTTGTTAATGTTAGTTAATAAAAATCTTCACATTTATGTTATTTCACAGCACATTAATGTTAACAGATACAACTTTTTTTATTTTAGTAATGTATTAGTAAATGTCTGGCTTAATATTAACTAAGATTAATAAAGGCTATAAATCTTGTTCAAGTTAACTAATATAGTTAACTACTGTTAACAAATAAAACCTAATTGCAAAGTGTTACCATTATTATTATTATTATTATTATTACAAAAAAAAATTTAAATATTAAATAATATTTCACCGAAAAATAAAAAATGGAATATTAAAAAAAAACAAGTATTATAACACAATAAATATAATAATTTTATTTTACATTACAGCTGTAAATTTACAGTAAATTTGTTTTTAAATGTTAAACCATCAAATTTTTATTTTGACAAAATGCAGGGACTACTTTTGCTGTTAAGCTCTTCTCGTTGCATGTTTGGGAAAGTGGTTGGCACATGTTGTGTTTTCAAATGCATGTTAAAGCAACTAAGTGATAATGAGCCGCTCGCATGTGAATGAACACAGTCCCGCGCTTCACTCTGAAACATGCAGCGCATATATTTATTTAATTAAATCGCAGCCTTTGTGATCGGCTAATCACACTACGCCGTTCTGTGATTTTGTTTTATTTCGATGCATCATGCGGCCCTAAGAGAAGGGCATTCTTCTTGGCAAAACCGTGTGAGCTTGTTTCTGTAAGCAGGGTCAGTTTGGCGTTCAGGAAGAGGATTTACTGAAGAGTCTGACCTGCACCACGTCAGTGACGCGAGGAGAGGCCATCCAGCGACTCCACAACCAGCAGCAGGCTGAAGGTACACACAGGTTCACTTCGAAGCCACTAGTGTGTTTGACACCCTTCACACTGACCACCGTGTGTTTTAAACGTCGTTTCAGACGCCAGAGACTCCATCGCTAAAGTGGCCTACGGTCGCGTGTTCGGATGGATCGTCAGTAAAGTCAACGAGCTGCTCGCTCCTAAAGTAGACTGTGACGTGGAGCTCAATGAAATAGGTAAGAAACATACCAGTTCATACTTTGACTGAGAAACTTGTTTCTGTCTTTTAATTCAAAATAAAGCTAGAATAAAACGCAAACTTTGAAGTGCTAAAATTACTAAAACTAAAATGAAAATAAATTCAAGCTTAATTTAAAATAAAAAGTTAAATAGAAATAAAAAATTAAGCTAAACAAATACTGAAAATAAAATCTAATTCAAAATATTAATAAATACTATAATAGTGTTTAAATAATACTGAAATAACACTGGCTCAGCTGATACAGGTTTTTCTGTAGCTGACGTACTACATATTATAAATAATTACTTTAAATTATAATGATTTGTTTTAAATAATTGACAACATAATGATTTTACATAATATGTGTTCAAATATGTGACCCTGTCTGTGAAATCCAGGCTAAAGTCTCAGAATCTAATTATGAGATAACAAGCATCAAAGTTTGATTTCAGCCAATAATTTCACTATGATTTCAATCTTTGACATGGCCTTGCTCACTCAATATTAAAGATATAAAGGTTATATTTTCACAGAATGTTCTACATTTTTATGAACGATGATTTTATGTAGAAAACAGTAAATCACCAAAAAATGACTTTAGCTGGGTTTTCACAGGCAGGGTCACATATTTGAAAACACAATTATTTTCAAAAGAAAATAAAAGAAAAGAAAGAGAGAAAAAAAATGTAAAAAAATACATTTTTTATAATAATAAAAAAAATAATGCTTTTTTTATGTTTAAAAAACATAAATAAAAATTGTATGTTTATATATTAATGCTCAGCTTAAGTATCAAGACAGTTACATTTACATTTACATTTAGTCATTTAGCAGACGCTTTTATCCAAAGCGACTTACAATTGGGGGATACATAAAGCGATTCTTCTTAAGAGGCAAACAGACACAGGAAGTGGTTGTAATACCAAGTTCTTAGACATTGTTCAAATAAGTACAAGCTAGAAAGAGAAGGAATAAATAAAGAGAGAGATTTTTTTTTAAGGATGAGACGTCTTGCTAGTAAAGTAGTAAAGGCTAAAGCCTTTTGGACCGTTACTGAAAGGTTAACATCTACTGCCAACCCAAAAGTGGATTTGTATCGATATCTATGTCGAAGGCATCTTTCAAAGTTTTAAATATTTTAGTCCAATAATCAAATAATTTAGGGCATTCCCACAACATGTGAATGAGGTCTGCTGGTGATTGCTTGCATCTATTACATGCATCGCTGACAGAGGGGTATACTTTGGCAAGTCTAGCATTAGTATAGTAAACCCTATGCAGAATCTTACATTGTATAAGCCCATGCCTTGCGCATATAGATGAGGTGTGAGTGAGCTCAAGAATACGCTCCCAGAGTCCATCAGATAACTCAAATACCAATCTATGTCGAAGGCATCTTTCAAAGTTTTAAATATTTTAGTCCAATAATCAAATAATTTAGGGCATTCCCACAACATGTGAATGAGGTCTGCTGGTGATTGCTTGCATCTATTACATGCATCGCTGACAGAGGGGTATACTTTGGCAAGTCTAGCATTAGTATAGTAAACCCTATGCAGAATCTTACATTGTATAAGCCGAGGTTTGCTCTTTTACAGGAATCCTTGACATTTTTGGCTTTGAAAACTTCGCTGTGAACCGATTCGAGCAGCTCTGCATTAATCTGGCTAACGAGCAGCTCCAGTATTTCTTCAACCATGTAAGTCCTTCATCGTGCTTCGTTATGAGATTGATATTTGTATAGGAAAACATATTTCATGTCGCATGAGTAGTGCACATGCTCTGACACTTCAAAAAGTTCAATTCAAGTCTCCTTTTTGACTGTCTCTGTCAGTAAAATGTAGGGATGCACCGATACCGATACTGGTGCCGATACCACACAGCATGTGATAAGTGCCATATTCAGACAAAGAAACACCGACAACAGACAGCAGAATGGAGTTATTAGAGATTAAAGATGTCTACGAAGTATATGTATGCAATGAATATAAAACATTCAGTATTAATGCCTGTATTGCTGATTTGCGCCAGCTGGTAAGCAAATCACGCTGAGTGTATTGCGCGCGCGCGGTGACGCAGATGCGCGAGCTTGTCGAGTGAATATCCCTTTCTCACAGACATCACTGGAAAGTTTGTAGTTCGGTCGGATGTGTCAAAAAGAAGTAAAACAATGCACACGTTACTTAATGGTAGGGAGGGAGGGAGAGAGAGAGAGAGAGAAAGAGAGCACTTCTGTTGCGTGATCTTGATGTTCGCTCACTTAGCACGCATCATTTGGATTAAAACTCAATCGTAAATATAAGACAATTTATAGGGGCATTCACTATAAACGTCATTTATTTTCACCCTTAAGCATACACGACTTTCTGTTGAAAGTGAAACTAACAGCCTATGTGAAATGCGCTGCTGTACTGTACTTGTCCCTCTCATTCTGCACCAGCACAAATACGTGTTTTGCTTGCTTCATGAATGCTAATGCATTATATGAGTGGCTTTGGAAAATAAATTGCTGCACATTTCAGATGAAAACGCAACTTCTATTTATGAAAATATCACAGTTAGGAGATTTATAGTGAGTGGTTCCCTGCATTATTACAGCTTCATTCAGTGGACTGAATTTGTAAAGACACAGTTTAACTCTGAGTTCTTGTCATATTTTATTACCATTTTCTAAACTATAGCGAATAAACTGTGATAATGTGAGAAATGTTGAAGGTGTCAGAATAAATTTTGGTTTGACTGTATCTATTTGATAAATGAAGTTAACCAACTAACATTATATATACTCTTTTGGTTTCTGTATCCAATATTTTAAAAAGTTACAAATGCAATGAAAATATTGGTATCGGTACTCGGTATCGGCAAGTACCAAAAATAAAAGTATCGGTATCGGACGAGTACTGAAAAAAGTGGTATCGGTGCATCCCTAGTAAAATGACAAAAAGGCCGAAAGATAAAAGGCATCTGTGGTCCTCTTCCACTGGACTGCATTAAAAATACTAGACTTTTTTTTTTATTGGACATATTTATACACCTAAAAGTGTAATCATTTAAGTCTATTCATTTTTTTAAGTATTGCAATATCTTTAAAATTATAATTAAAAGTACCTATTTTATGTATTATTGATATTTTATATAATCACTTTAGCAAAGTTAAATCCTTCCAGCATATCTTGCCTCATAATAAATGCATACTAATAAATGTAGTTTTTTTTGCGTTTTACAAATTGAAGCATGAAAATTATTTTCAGTAATCCTCCTTTGGGCTGCATTAAAAATTCTAGGCTTTTTTGTTATATTGCATGTATTTTTACAACTAAAATTGTAATAATTTAAATCTATTAAACTTTAAGTATTACAATGTCTTTCAAATTTATATAATTGCGTTAGCAAAATTAAACTGTCCAGAATGTCTTGCCTAGTTTTTTTTTTTTTTTTTGCTTTTTGCAAAATGAATGTTTTTTCCTATGGTAATCCTCCATTGGGCTGCATTAAAAATACTAGGCTTTTTTGTTATATTAGGCATATTTGTATGCCTGAAATTGTAGTAATTTAAATCTATTAAATTTTTAAGTATTGCAATCTCGTTCAAATTAAATTATATAATTTTTTTTTTTTTTTCATATTTATATTTTATATAATTGCTTTAGCAAATGAAACCCACCTGCTTGTCCTGCCTCATTATAAATGCATTACTGTAACATGACAAAAAGGACAAAAAATAAAAGTAATTGGTCATTTAACTTTATTTCAAATAAAGGCTTGAAGAAACACCAATGCAGTAGAAGTTAGAAACATTAAATGCCGCTTTTGTTCACTTCCGATTCTTTCAACAGGACATGATTTGGAACTCAATGGATATAATAATCACATTTTCAATGTCGTTTCCCTCCAGCATATTTTTCTGATGGAGCAGAAAGAATATAAAGAGGAAGGCATCACATGGGAGACCATAACCTACAAGGACAACAAACCCATACTGGTACGTCTGTGTTCAGAACCGTTTCACCCTCCGCACTATTTCCAACTCTTTTTTTCCCCCCATTTTCCTTCTCTCTGACTCCAAAAGTACACCCGAGCTCTGCGTTTGGCAGACGGCCGTGTGGTAAATCCCAAACACAGGAAGTGCTGACGAAGCAGGACACGTAGCTTTGAGAATCTCTCTCAGATTTCTGCATGCATTCTGACCCAAATCCTTCGGCCCGCTGCTGAATGGGAAGCTAAAAGAAACCTGAAGCTTGTTTTCATTCTCCTGTGAGATTCCCGCTCTGTAAACATGAACTCTGCCCTGTAATTATGGCCGTTTGGAAAGCTGCAGATTAAATGTATGTCACATTCATATAGCATTCAGCTCTAAACCTGCAGCGCCGTCAGCGAGAGAGGCCTGTTTAGCTTGTCAGCATGGAAAACTCATTCACCCATGCCAGGTTTGTTCCTCTGTTTCAGGACCTGTTCCTCACCAAACCCATTGGGATTCTCTCACTGCTGGATGAGCAGAGTGCCTTTCCTCAGGTACACTGGACGGGGTTGCTAGTTAAACCTGAGACACAAAAGAAAACATGTTGCCAAGTCCTCCATAGGGCCACAATTACATTTATTTGTACAAATACAAACGACAAAAAAGTTTTTTTTTATTGCATTTACATTTATGCATTTAACAGATGCTTTTTTTTGTGCATTTAACAGATATTTGTACACCTAAACATTTAATAATTTAATATATTAATTTTCTTTAAGTATTGCCACTTTTTAAAACGCATTTAATTTTTATTCATAAATTTTTATTTATAATTTATATAATTGTCTTGCCGCATAAATGCATCACTGTAAATACAGTTTTTTTTGTTAGTTTTTTTTGCATTTTACTAACCGAAGGATGAAAATTATTTAATGTGGTAATCCTCCATTGGCCTGCATTTGAAATACTGACCTTTTTTGTTATGTTGGTTTTGTACATCTCATAAGGTGTAATAATTTAAGTATTGCAGTTTCTTTAAAATACTTATTATTTATAATTATATAAATATTAATAATAATATTAATGCATTAACGTAAATTTAATTTTTTTATTATTTGCATTTTATAAACTGAAGTACGAAAAAAATATTTTCAGTGGTAATCCTCCATCTAGCTGCATTAAAAATACTTTCTTTATTTACCTATTTATTTATTTATTTTATTGGACATATTTATTATAATTTAAATCTATTCATTTAAGTATTGCAATTTCTTCTCATTTTAAAATTATATTTAAAATACTTATTTTTATTTAAAACATTTTAATTGCTTTAGCAAAATGAAACTTTTTTTTGCATTTTACAATCTGAAGGTCAAAAGTTATTTTCTGTGATAATCCTCCATATTTGTAATAATTAGTGTAAATGTAAATTATATATATGTATTTTCAGTATTGCAATTTCTTTAAAATTATATAATTTTTTTTTATAATGTGTTTAATTGGTTTAACAAAATGAAACCCTCCCACATGCCTTGCCTCATTATAAATGCATTACTGTAAGTGTTTTAAACTAAATGAAAATATATTCCGTTATAATCGACAGCTCACATAAAGCTCAACTTGTATTGAATGAGGAACATTCATTTTAATAGCCATTGAATTAAAAATAAGCAACAAAGAGACGTCAGAGCCATTAAGCTCTGCCTGTTTTGTGCTAATTTTCATTCTGTGCATGTATGTACGGTGGAGATGGTCCACGTTCAGGACATTACAGTCATGTGACTGCATTTGTTGTGCATTTAACACGTTAAAATCAGTATTTCTAGCAAACAGCTTGTGATGATGATTTCTGCACCCACAGGCCACTGACCGCGATTTTGTTGACAAGTTAAACAGCAAATTTAAAACGGCTCCCAACTTTGAGGTTGTGCGAAACCACACCCCTCTGTTCACTATTGTGCACTACGCTGGGAAGGTGAGTGTGCAAAACCACCGTCAGCACTAGTACCTAACAATTCACCTGATCACTGACTTCATGTAGATCAACAAAGTAATTGTTGTGCTGGTTAATAATTAAATGATGCATGTGCATTTTTCCCAGAGGCACGACGCATTAATAAGGGTGTTTTTCTTCATAAAGTGTGCATTATTCCTGCATGAAGTGTCTTTTTGTGGTCTGTCCAGGTGCAGTACAATGCAAGTGGATTTCTTGAGAAAAACAGAGACACGATACCGGCCAACATTCGCGAGCTCTTCATCAACAGCGTCACTCCTCTCCTCAGCGTTCTGTTCGCAGGTCTGAATGCACTCCCATCTTCACACATCGCTAGATAAGTGTAAATGCTCAAATCACAACCAACAATAAAAAGCATTTGGTTGCGAGTTTGAACACACACACACACACACACACACACACACAATAAATAAAAATAATACCATATGTACAGTGTATATATATATATATAATTTTTTTTTTTTGTGTGTGTGTGTGTGTGTGTATTTATTTTTTATTTATTGCTAGATTATTTTACATTAAAAATGTTTTTTTCCTTATTTATATATA